TAATTAAATTTCTTCGGTATTTACTTTTGTATTTTAAAATCGATGAAGCTGATAGGCTACTGACTTCTATGTATACTACAAAATCGTCTTTAGAGATTTTAACCAAATATCGAAAGTATGCTATATGTCTGAAGTGTCATAAGCTCTATAACCCATAGGTAATTAAAGACCATATTCAAGACAATAAGCCAGAAAGTATGAAGTGTACAAATGTAGAATATCCCTATCATCGAAATAAATCACAATGATCAGCATACATTGAACCATTAGCAGTAAAGCTAAAAACAATAGATGGTATCTTATTATGACTATTGAAAATTTATTCGGTTAGAAGTATAAAGCAATAGCTCTATATGATATATTAGAGAGCTGGCTTTGAGAATATGTTGCGGCATTCTAGTAATAGAAATGTTCTGATTGGAATTTTCTCTGACATATATGAGGGAAATATTTGAAAAAATTTCACTATAAATCTAGAAGATCCTACACCATTTTTTACAAATAATATACTTGATAGTTATATCAGCCTAGCAATTAATATAGATTGATTTCAACCATTCGATTATACAGTTCATAGTACTGGGGTAATTTATGGAGTATTGTATAATTTACCAAGAGAAGAATAATTTAAACCAAATAATATATTAACTTTAGGTATTATTCCTGGTCCAAATGAACCAAGTAAACATCAAATCAATAATTATCTAGCTCTAATCATCAACAAGTTAGTTGATTTTGTTTCTGGTATAGATTTACTAGCAATATTCGAATATAAAAAAGGACGCAAAATTTATGTCGCATTGATTCTATTATCAAACGATGTTCCAGCTGCAAAAAAGATTTGTAGTCATGCAAGTCATACAGTGAAATGTTATTGCTGTCTAAAACATGCAACATACGATAATTTATCTAAAAGAAGTCACTATAGTGGGTTTGAAAATATGGATGAATAGTTTAATCTGGTAGACATAACAAAATATTTTAATGTAGCGAAAGAATGGTTAAATTGTACAAATAAACAGGAAAGAGATGATCATGTATCTAAAACAGAAGTAAGATAGTCGGAATTATATCAGCTAAAATATTTTGATCTAGTTAAATTTATAGTTGTCAACCTGATGCATTGTCTATTTTTAGGTATTGGAAAATGGATAATGAAGCAATGTTTATTGAATAATAATAAACTTAGCAAAGAATAACTTAAAATTATTGAAAAGTGCATGTCAAGTACTAAAGTTTCAGTAGATATAAGCTGTGTTCTATCAAAAATAGCGCAAGGGTTAGAAGGATTTAGCTGATTAACTGCAGATCAATGGAGAATTTTCTATCAAGTTTATGCTATTTCTTGCATGTGGGATATGCTAAATCTTGAAGATAGAGAAATTCTCTTTAATTTCGTTAGTGCATATAATTTATTAATAAGTTGAATAGTCAAACAAAGTGATCTAGACAAGTGTATAGGTGATTAATAAAAATAGCTAAGTTAATTGAGGAGAATTATGGTCTAGAATTAATATCGTCAAATATTCATCTTTCTTTTCATATTAGGCAATGTTGTCTTGATTATGATCCACTATACGTTTATTAGTGCTATTCATTCAAAAAGATAAATAGCCTATTAGGTTCTTATCCAACAAGCAATCAGTCAATAGAACCAGAACTCATGCGTATTCTAATGAAAAATGTGCAGATAGAATATAGGATAAGTTTAGTTAATAGAAAGGATGGCAAATTACTACTGGACAAAGTTCTTTCACTTTTAAATAAAAAAGTATGCAGAAGTTTAAAGATGACTAAAAATTTCGAAAGTGAAGATTTAATAGTATATATTGATATAGCAGATAAAATTGATACAAATATTATAACAGGATCAGAAAGATATCCTGGTGAGATGATAAAACTGATATATGAAAATGTACAACTTCCAGAAAACGTTTATCAAAATCTAAAAGATTATTATACA